TTTTGCACTATATACATCTAACAAAAAACTTCTATGTATGTATCTGTCTACATATATACACAGAATTCCTATATATTAAAAAGAGAAAGTTGACAACACAATTATAATCAGTAAAAGATTCGATACCTTATAAAAGAATGTTAAAAGTAGTCAATGAACATAAAAGAAGCTCATCGAAATCATTAGACATCAGGGATATGCAATTTAATTCCACAATGAGCACTACATACACCCTAGAATAACTAAAATCGAAAAAAATTAAACATTGACAATGTGGAACAAATAACATTCATACACTGCTAGTGGATGTAAAATTGGTACAACCATTTTAGAAAACTTGGAAGGATTTACTGAAGCTTAACATATGCATATATGTATATGCATAAGTACCATATGACCCCAAAATTCCCCTCCCAGATTCATGTATAACATAAATTAGTTTATATTTGCATTACAAATTAGCCATAATGGCTTTACTTATAATAGCCCCAAACTGAAAACCACCTAAATGTTCAACAAAAATAAACTACATAAATAAATTGAGATTACACAAGCAATAAAAATCACTCAGCACCATAGATGAATATTATATACATAATTTTGAGCAAAATAAGCAAGAAAAGAAGTAAATACTTCATGACTATATTTATATGTGTCCAAAACTGGCAGAACTAATCCATGGTGATAAAAGTCAAAACAGTAGGGACCTTTGTGAGGGTTTGTGGTTGAGAGGGGTATGAGGGAGTTTTCTAAGGTTCTAGTGACAGTCTATATCTTGATTTGGGTGTTGTTTTCACGGTGTATTCATTACTGGAAACTAGTTTAGCTGAACTCTTAAGATTTATGCACTTTGAGGTTTACATACTATGCCTCAATTAAAAAATTTATCCCAGGAGAGGTAAGACTAAAGTTACAAAAAAAATTCCAAATAAAAAAAAACAGGAGTTGTGGTATTAGTAGTAAACAAGGTAGAGTTCAGGCGAAGAACACATAATATGAAATGAACAATGGTGATTAATGGTAAAGAATGCACTTTTTGTGGACATGTTTTTGAATATCTATGCATGAATATTAAAAAATGCAGCAGATACAAGGAAAAATGGAAACATTTTAGTAGGATATTTTAATTCACCTTTTCTCCATACAGGACAAATCAAGTAATCAAAATATAAATAAGGACATGAACAAACAATCCTATAAAAAATGGACAAAGTATATGAATAGATAGTTTACAGAAAAAATGTTTAAAGAGCTCTTAAACTTATGATGGAAAGGTATTTAACATTACATACATGCGAGAGGTAAATTAAAACTACATTGACAATTCTTTTTTACCGAATAGGCTAGCAAAAAAAAAAAAAAAAAAAATTGGTAACCAATACTTGCCTGGTATTGCTGGAAGGAAAGAAAATTATTGCATACGCTAAAAAGAGCAATATGAGAATATCTATAAAGATTAGACAAACATATACTCTTCTACCCAGCAACTCCAATTTTAGGAGTTTATCGATAGAAATACCTCCACATATTTAAAATGAGGAATGTACCAAGGTTAGTCACTGCAGCATTGTTCGACATAGCAGAAGATTGGTACCAAACTGTCCTTTAATAGATGAAATGATTAAATAGGTTTTAGTACATCATGTAATTCAATATCATATAACTGTAAATAAGAATAAGAAAATTAATGAAATGGAAAGACAAGTTACACTGTAAAGTGAAATAAGCAAAGTACAGTGAACTAGATATACTATTTTTGCATAAAACAGGAAGCAAAAAAGAATTCTTTGTTGTTTTTATTTTACAAACACAAATTGAGAGGATAAATAAGAAACTAACAAAATTGTTTATTTTTTAAGAGGATGGTACATTCCTCATTTTAAATGTGTGGAGGTATATCTACTGATAAACTCCTAAAATTGGAGTTGCTGGGTAAAAGAGTATATGCTTGTCTAATCTTTATAGATATTCCCAAATTGCTCATTTTAGGGTATGCAACAATATTCTTTCTTTCCAGCAATACCAGGCAAGTATTGGTTGTCAGTTTGGTTTTTTTTTAATGGGGAAGAAGAGAAGGGAAATTTTAAAATTCCATTTCTTTTTGATATTTGAACCATATAAGTGTATTACTATTCAAATTCAGATTACGGATGAGAATTTAAAGTATGTTATTTAAATTTGGCATAGGATATTGAATGATATTTTATATTGGAGTTTCTGTCATAGGATCAAAGTAATATTTTTAAGGAGATTAATTTTACAACATGACATGCAAAATGAATTGTAGGGAGGAGAGATGGAAAGCTCTCCTGTGCCAATTAAAAAGAGAAGGAAAGACACCTGTTAGAAAATTTTTGTGATACTCTAGGATGAGGTAATACTTAAATTAGGGTGGTGATAATAGGAATGCAAAAGAAAGGGTAAAGGTATGAGATCAAGTTTAAAATAAAAACAGTAAAATAAAGATTAAAAAGATATGATTAAAACAAAAATTTACACAAGAACCAAGATTCTACTTAGCCTACATTTCTGAAGAATAAGGATAAACAACTCTTAATGGATGGAGTAAATTGAAGAACTGTCACAATTTTAAATGAGTGTCTAAAAGTCAAAATTTATTGCTTTATAAAGATTTAAATGTTGATGAATTTATATAAAGTTAAAAAGTTTAAATAAAAATAAATTATAATTTTTTATACTCTGAAAACAGATCTACAATGTCAAATATATAACTAATATTTTTGGTGCTTAGAAATTTACACATTACTATATAGTACAGAAAAAATCAGATAAATAGAAATTAGAGAAATAAGCAAACCTTTCATAACCCCACCACCCAATAATTTCTACTGTTAATAATTCTTATTTAAAAAATTTATTTCTAGGAATCTTTATATTCAAATTTTTAATATATTTTAATGGGTTCATGTTTTACCTTGCTGTTTTACTTCCAAAATATTATTTAAAATTTTTTTTTTGCCAATGAATATACACCCATCCCTTGATATATGCGATATTTTTTTTACACAAGATTTTTTTATATGTGGTAAACATCCCCCTCACCCCGCGTTTACATGGACTTTTATATACGATTTCCATTTGAGTGGTCTCATTTTACATGATTCTATCTTTTTCATTTCCATTATTGACAATTACTATTTCTAAAAAACAATAGCTTAACTCGGCAATGTACAAAGAACTAATACTAGCAGACAATTATTAATGATCTTCTCCTTCATTGGATGGCAAATAAAAAAGGATAGGTGTCTACTGATGTTTTTCAGGACTGGTTTTATAAATGTTTTGCTATAGAAGCTGAACATTATATGGAGAAAAAAATGTCTTTTAAAATACTTTTATTTCTAAATAATGCACCTGGTCATCTACACAATTTAGAACATCCAAATATAAAAGTTGTATATTTGCCATCACATACATACAACTTCCTTAATCCAACCTTTAGATCAAGGCATTATTTCCACCTTTAAGATTAATTATATTAAATGGAGTGTTAATGATATTTTTAATGAATTTGAAGATAATGAATCACTTATAGAACCCTGGAATAAATACACAATTTTAAGCTGTATCAAGAATATTGCTTAAGCATTGAGTGATATAAAGCCATCAACTTTAAATGCTTGCTGGAAAGTAATATGACCTGACGTGGTTGTACCAGGGAATATGGTTCCAACAACTGAAGAGGGATTAACTGGCATTATTAATTCATTAAATAAATTTCAAGAAGATTCTGACAATTCGAATTTAGATGACATTAACAAATTACTAGTTGATCACGAGTGAACTGATAAATTAATTCACTGAATATCTGCAGACCATCCTGCCAATGAATATGGCTGTGACCTAGGACCAGTTTCATTCACTGCAGAAAATATTTACAAAGCTCTTTAATTGGCCACAAAACTGGAAGCTGCAATTCTAGACATTGATCCAAACATCCAATGGGCTTTAAAATTTTGAAAAGATTTTTTAAAATGTTTCAGTGAGTATCACAGAATTTATGAAAACTTAGCAAAAGACAGGGTTGGAAAAAAGATCATCCAAAACATAAATAAGGAAACCAAAGTAGTACTTCCAAATATTTTGAGCGATGAAGATAGTGACTTTGTGCCAATTAAAAAGAGAAGGTTGTTTGCTTTAGTTTACAGTACAGACACTGACAGTGAATAAAATTTGTTTTTTTTTCTGAATTTTCATTAGCATTTTTGTGAAAATACGTGAAATAAATATTTTTATGATTTATATGGGCCTATTTAGTATTTTTTGTTTCATACTGGTGTACTCTCTTTATGTGGTTTCCTTCCATGTAAAAAAAAGACGCATGGAAAGGACAAGTAAATTGAGGGACAAGTGTACATGTTTCCAAACTACAGTCCAGAGTGATGATATCACATGATACTGCACCTATGATATATATTTCCTGGTAATTCAGTTTTACCTATAAAAAGATAGAGTTTCTGTGTAATATTACCAATTTTTTACTTGGAATTGTTAATATATCTTAAAAATAACCTCGTTTGAAATGTCTTTAAAAGTATTGCACTCATGCCTCTGATTTTAATTTTTGGGAGGCCAAAATATCTTTAAAGACATTTATTTCTATTTAATTTTGTAATCAAATTTGATTATGGTTAAATTTCAGAAACTCAATTACACTTTTACTAAAATTAGAAATTTTACATTATAAGAATTAAGAAAGTAAAGTAGTAGATTACTGCAGTGAGTGACCAAAAGCCTGAAAAATACCCTCATGTTTACCTGAAGTGGGAGACTTGCAGCGCTCAAGTTCCAGGGGAACTGGACTGTCATTCAGTTCAGTTAAACCTGAAAATAAAATGACAAAAAATAAGATAAATTTTGCTAACTTTGTAGATAATTCTTATTTCTTAATTCCTATAAGTTTAAAGGGTTTTTTTCCCCCTGTGAAAAACTACTTTTCTATGTTTGTGTTATGACAATTATTCTGAATGTTTTTAAATCTTTTTTATTAAAATATAATTGGCATAAAATATACAAGTTTCAGGTGTAAAACATAGTGATTTGACATTTATCTTAAGATGTGATCACCACACTAAGTTTAGTAACAATCTGCAAAGCTATCACACTAATTGAGTATATTTCTCTTCACCTTTTTCACTCATCTTTCCAGTTTGTCGTAACAAGCAATACAGAAAAAAAATGAGCAATAACTAATTGATATCCAAAGGGTAATTGAACATGATGATGGAAAGATGTAAATTCTTTTATTTTTTTTCATATGAAATATCTACTTTAATAAATGACCTGGCTTCATCTGAAGATAGATCATGAATAATACAAATTAGAAGAGGTTTTCGAAAAGACCTAATCAAAGCTTACATTTTCAAGAGAAATGGTTATTGGCTTTTAAAAAGACCTTTAAGGAGATGCTACAAATTTTAATATTATATTTATAAAAATTCAGTATTGTGGTACATACTAAGTAGTTTGTTTAATGGTATCAAATTCCTTCTTATAATAAGCACTACATTTTTATTTCTAATATTTCTTGTTTTCTCTTCCACCACTTTCCTGACAAATACAAAGATAGGCACAGTCGATTAAAAAACTGTAATTCTTACTATCTGCCATTCTGCCTTCCAATGGCATTCATAAAATATCCTTAATTATGGTTTTCCTATCCTTGTTGGGGAGTCTCACATACTTTTTCTTTGTAAATAAATATTGAGTTTCTATTTTAATGTAAATTCCCATACCTAGAAGTACTTAAGATGCTATTGTCAATTACCAAAACCATTTTGTTCATGTTCCTTCCAATGATCTCCTTCTTTACATAATTTGTACCAATAAACTTGCTATAGGTTCAAAAAATCATTTAGAAAAGGACCTTTGTGATATTCTAGATCAGCCCTGATGTTTTATAGCTAAGAAATAATAAGTTCAAAGAGTTTAAACTATGTAAGTTTACAGAGCTAAGTTAATGCCGAAGCTTGAATGGAATTTTTTATGTATTTTTGTCTTGTCAGGTATAGATATTGTGAATTTTTTTTTCCAGTATGTGACTTTTCATTTTCTTAGTGAAAATGAAATATCTTTTGGTGAGCAGAAGATTAATTTACTTGAAAGACAATTTATCAATATTTTCTTTTATTGTGATTATTTTTTGATTCTTGTTTAATCATTGTCAACTATGTAGTCATAAAGATATTATTCTTCGTTTTCTTCAAGAGCTTTTTCATTTTTAGATTTCATTTTTAGGACTATAATTCATCTCAATTTAATTTTGGATTATGGTGTGAGGTAGGAATGAAGTCCATTTTTTCCCTATATGCTTGCTCAGTTCCATCATTATTTTTTTAGGAAGGTTTTTCTATCTTTATTGATTTTTATTGGTGCCTTAGTCAAAAATTGGCCATGAATGTGTGGGTCTACTTCTGGACTCTCTTCTATAATCATTGGTCTATTTGTCTATCTTTTTATCGACTACCACACTAATTAATGTAGGTTTATAGTATATCTTGAAATCAGGTAGGGAAATCCTCCAACTTTGTTCTCCAAGAATTTTTTCATTATTCTAGATTCTTAGCATTTCTATATAAAATTTGCCAAATTCTACAAAAAGATATGTTAGATTTATACTGGATTCTAATCTAGATATAATTTTGACAGATTATCTTAATATTGAGTCTTCTAATCCATACATATGGGATTCCCCTCCATTTAAATGAATAAAAAAATTTTTTTGCAAACTACTTTACCGATTTCAGTACAGAGATCTTGTACATGGCATTTTTCAAGAGTTGTGTTTTCTTTTCAGTCTTCTGCCTAGTTCTTGTATCATTGAAAGTTGATTATTAAAATTTCCAATAATTATTATGGAATTGTGGAATTATATTTCTCTATTTGATTCTGTTAGGTATTTCTTCATTTACTTTGTAGCCGTGTGTGTGTGTGTGTGTGTGTGTGTGTGTGTGTGTGTGTGTGTGTGTGGATTGACCATTTTATTGTTTTAAATGTCCCTCTTCTAGTAACTATTTGGTTTAAATCTATTTTGTCTGATATCATTATAGCTACTCCAGTTTTCTCATGGTTGCTGTTTGCATGACCTTTTCCCACCCTTTTACTTTTAACTTATTTGTATCTTTTTGTGTTGCCTTCAGTCAGCATAGTGTTGGATCTCAATTTTTTAAAAAATCTGGTTTGACAACCTCTATCTTTTGATAGAATTGTTTAATCAATTCACATTTAATGATATTAATGACATAGTTGGATTACATCTGTTATTTTACTTTTGGTTTTCTATATATCTCATGTCATTTTTATTCCTCTAATACTCCTTTACTGCTTTGTTAGGCACTAAGTAATGTTTTCTAGTGTAACTCTAATTTCTTTAATAAATTTTTCACTATATTTTTTGAGTTTTTCATGGTTGCTCTAAGAGTTAATAAATATAAATCTTAACTTACCAGAGTGCTTCGGATGTATACTAACTTCATTTTGGTAAGATATAAAAATGCTACTCTTTTATAGCTCTATTTCCTCTTTCTCTTTTATGAGTTATTTTTGGCATACATATTACACTCATATGTGTTACAAGCTCAACAATGTATTGTTATAATTATCACTTTATACAATTTTGTTTTTTATAAAAGTTGAGAGAAGAAAGAAGAGCAAACATATTTATAAAGTTTGTATAATAACTTCTGATTTACCATTTCTGGCTTTCTTCATTTGCTCTGATATATTCATCTAGAGTCATCTGCTTACTCAAACACAACTTTGCTCCCACCCACCTCCTCCTTTGTGCTGTTATTAGAAGAAAATATATTACATTTTTATATGTTATATATAGGCCCAACAATACAATTTTATATATATTGTTTCATAAATTGCTTTTTAAATCACATAAGAAATATGCATTTACACTATTATTTTGTAATTATATAATTACCTTAAGTGTTCTTTTTTTTTTTCCTTTGTGTGAATTCAAATTACCATCTGAGGTCGTTTTCTTTCAGCCTGAAGGATTTCCTTTAGTATTTCCTGTAAGGTAGCTCTGCTAGCAAAAAATTCAGTTTTTGTTTATCTCGGAATGTCTTTATTTCACCTACATTTTTTGAAATGTACTTTTACTGGATATAAGATTTTTGGTTGATAGTTTTTTCCTTTGAGCACTTTGAATGTGTTTCTGATGAACTGTTAATTCTATTGGTGTTCTCTTGGACATGGCAAGTAGTTTTCCTCTAATTGCTTTTGAAATTTTCTAATTGCCGTTCTGCATGTTTACTACTGTGGTGTCTTGGTGTGAATATCTTTATATTTTTCCTATTTAGAATTTATTGAGCATCTTGGATGTGCACATTAATGTTTGTCTTCAAATTTTGTAAGTTTTCAGCCATTATCTCTTTAAATATTTTTTCTGCTGCTTTCTCTTCTTTCTATTACTCTTTCTGTAAACATGTTGAAACACATAAGATATCCCACAATTTTCTGAGGGTTTTTCTTCCTTTTCCTCTCTGTTCTTTGTAATGCATAGTCTCTACCAACCTACCTTCAGGATTGCTGATTCTTTTCTCCAGTTCAAACCTGCAATTGAGTCTCTCTAGTGAATTTTTCTTTTTATTTATTGTATTTTCAACATCAGAATTTTCTTTTCTTTTTTTTTCTTGACCCCCTTCATCCATTTCACCCATGCATCCTCCTCCACCTCTGGCAACCAATCCATTCTCTGCATCTATAAGTTTGAGGTTGATTTTGGGGAACGGAGGTTGTTTCTAGATTGCACATATAAGTGATATCACATGATATTTGTCTTCTTTTGTCTGACATATTTCACTTAGCATAATACCCTCAAGGTCCATCCATGTCGTTACAAATGGCAATATTTCTTTTTTTTATGGATGAATATTGCATTGTGTATATGTACCACATCTTCTTTTTCCATTTATCCAATGATGAACACTTAGGTTGTTTCCATATCTTACCTATTGTAAGTAATGCTTCAGTAAACATGGGGGTGCATATATCTTTTTGAGTTAATGTTTTCATTTTTCTTTGGATAGATAGCCTAAAGTGGAATTGCTGGATCATATGGTAGTTTTAGTTTTAATTTTCTGAGGAAGCTCCATTCTGTTTTCCATAGTGGCTGCACCAATTTACATCCTCACAAACAGTGCACAAGATTTTCTTTTCTCTACATCCTCACCACACTTGTTATTTCTTATCTTTTTGATAATAGCCTTCTAATATCTCATTGCGGGTTTGATTTGCATTTCTCTGATAATTAGTGACACTGAGCACCTTTTCAACTATCTTAGAGAAAATGTCTATTCAGATCTTCTGCCCTTTTTCAAAATCAAAGTGTTTCAGATTTTTGCTATTGTTGTATAAGTTGTATAAGTTCTATATATATTTTGAATATTACCCCTTAGCAGATATATGATTTGCAAATATTTTCCTCCATTTAGTAGATTTCCTTTTCATTTTGTTGATGATTTTCTTTGTCGTACAGAAGCTTTCTAGTTTGATGTAATCTCACTTGTTTATTTTTGCCTTTGTTCCCTTTGCTTTTGGTGTCAACTCCAAAAAAATCATCATTGACACCCATGTCAAGGAGCTTACTGCCTATGTTTTTTTTTTCCGCCTAGAATCTTTATGTTTTCAGGTCTATGTTTTTTCCTAGAATCTTTGTTTTCAAGTCTTCAATCTACTTTCAGTTAATTTTTATGTGTCCTGTAAGATAGTTCCACTTGGTTCTTTTAATACCTTCCATCTCTTTGTTCTCTAATTGATGAGACACTATAATCATAGTGTTCCTTTATTAAAGGGACACTGTCTATTTCTTT